GCTGTGTAGCTTGCCATCACCAGTGCGTGAATGTGTGGATGATTGGATGTGTAAAGCACTTTGGGGTCCTTAGGGACTAATATAGCACTATACAAATACAGGCCATTTTATTTCTTATTCTTGAATCATGAACTTCACTGAGGAAAGTGAGACCTGCAGTTCATTTGATCTTGTTCTGGGTTCTTCTGCGACCCCCTTCATGAGCTGCTGATGCGAGGCCGTACACTCCTGGGAAAGTTCACCACTGTTCCACGTTTTCTCCTTTTGTGAATAAAGGCTCACACAGTGCTTCACTGGAGTTTATGTGTTTCTTTAGATTGTCCCATGATATGTTACTTTTGGAGATTGTCAGACTGGTTCTGTTTAAGTGATTTCTTGAATCAGCAGGCCTGGCAGTAATCAGGCTAATGAGTGTGGCTAATGAGTCTGTGTATATTCATAATTTGAGAACGAAGGACATTAACTTTTTCACATAGTGCCAGGTACATGTGGATAACTTTTGTTTGTTTGTTAAAAAATGAAATGATCAGTTAAAAACTACATTTTGTATTTACTCAGCTTATCTTTGTCTAACATTACAAATGTGTTTAATGATCTGAAACATGTACGTGTGACAAATATGCCAAAATATAAGCAAACCAGGAAGCGCTGTTTCTTAGCACTGTATATTGCAGTGGTCATAATTTAGCAAGTTCGTGTTTTTATGGCACAGGGCTGACATCTCAGGTGATCTCAGGATGTCCCAGTAAAAGATGTCTCATTAAGATCCTGTAGTTATCCCAACATGGTTTTAAATGTTTCAGCTCTGCTAGACATTCCAGTGTAACCTATGTATCGACCATTCATCTTTATAGTCTAAAACTCTGACAAACAACAACCGATACATGAGCCTGACACTACTGATGTTAAAAACCTTTATGATCTCACATCACAGCACCCTATTTCATGTTCGTGTAATGAGGCTGCAGAGTATGCACCAGACAAGTTTAAAACTTTATCTTTAAAAGCGTAGTCTACTCACTGATCGTCCAAAGAGCATCAGCAGAAGCAGCACGCTGCCAGTTCTGAGCACCAACATGATTACGAGTCTTCTCAAGAGTCCTGCTGCTCTGTTTCAGCCTCGGAGCGCATCCAAAGTTACCAAAACATGCAGAATTTACCTGAACACGGTCAGCGACAGACCTTACGTCCCTGGATCTACTGCGCGTGAGTCGTTTCATTTGGGCTCGCGGAAGTGAAATCATGTGATATGCTGGTGGAGTGTGGACGCTTTTACATCAGCAGAGGGCAGTGTTGAGCTTTTTATTCAAAGGGTTTGAAATAATGACAGTCACTGTTTTGAACAATGGGATAGAAGCCTTTTTTTTTAAATGTACAATCTGACAGTATAGAGTAAAAATACAATATACAGCAGAAGGAAATATGGGTAAGAGAACGACAATGTATTAAATCCGCAATATGTTTATGTCTGGAAATCATGAGAGAGGTGAGGAACAGATGGTCTGGACCTGTGCGGAGGAGGGACAATGAATATACTGGATGAAGGATGTTGAATAAGGAGCTGCCAGGCAGGAGGAAAAGAGGACGGCCTAGTTTTATTTATTTATTTTTATTATTATTTTTTAAAATATTATTATTATTGTGCCGTATGGTGGCGTATGGACGCTTTTAAGCCAGCAGGTGGCAGTGTTGGGCCTTTTATTTAAGACACTGAAGACGTTTTTT